TCCAGTGAATACCACTATCATTCAGATATATGCACCAACAACCAGAGCCAAAGAAGAAGAAATAGATGATTTCTACCAACTCTTACAGTCAGAGATAGATCGAACATGCAGTCACTGATAATAACAGGCGACTGGAACGCAAAAGTTGGGAACAGGGAAGAAGAATCAGTAGCTGGAAAACATGGACTTGGTGACCATAGATAGTTGGGTCTATTTCTGGATTCTCAGTTCTGTCCTATTGGTCTATGTGCCTGTTATTTGTACTAGTACCATGCTGTTTTGGTTACTACTGCTGTGTAGGAGGTTCTGAGGTCAGGGAGAGTTATGCTTCTCACCTCATTTTTTGTTTCTCAGAAGTGTTTTGCTTATTCAGGATCACTTGCCTCTCCAAATAAATTTGACAATTTTTCTTTCAATCTTCTCCCCCCTCAATCTTCTTAAAAAATGAATTTGGTATCTGGAGTGGGATTGCATTGAACATGTAGATTGTTTCTGGTAGGACTGTCATTTTCACAATATTGAGTCTTCATGAAAAGGGCACAGTTTCCCATTTCTTTAGATCTTTTATTGTGTCTTGCAGAAATGCTCTGTAGTTTTCTTTGAATAGGGCTTTGGAATTGACTTTTAATAAAACTAATCATCAATTATGATTGTCAGAAAACATCTAAGAATAGGAGGTGTATCTATAATGTTGGCAAAATTTGTATCAAACATGAGCCAGTATCACTCTTCATAGGCTTTCTCAACAAAGTCTAAATTCCTCTTTCTCTCAGCACAATGAATATTATTCCAAGAGTTATAGTTTATTAAGAAGACATGAAACAAAAATTACTTGACTTATAATAATATAAATGTAATGGCAAATAGTATTTTCAACTATAATAAAAATACTGGATATTGAAGCTATCTCAATTTTCTTAAGGTTACTTTTATACACATAGAGAGCAAAGAATTTTTAGACATTATCTATCAACAAGTGACTGGTAGACAAGTTGGGGAGGCTTTTAAAATTAGCTGAATGCTTTTCTATAATATTTAACAAAGAATATTCATTAGCCTATTTTGAAAATGTCAAAATGTCAACATTGGTTAATCAAGCATTAGATTATTGGTCATTAGCTTTTCCTTTTCATATCCTCTTTAATTTATTTTTAAAATGTGGTACAGATGTAAACAAGGTAAGAAATCAGAAGTTGAAAAGAGATCACTGTCTTAGTGAACATTTAACATTGGATAAAGAAGGGGTCAAAAGCACAGGGAAATAGGCGAATCAGTTGCTAAACACATTAGAAACAAGATGAGTTAGCTAGCTAGTAGAATCAGGGTATCTCCCCAATTACTATCAAATAACAAAATAAATTCCCCTGAGATGATGCTGCTGTAGCAGCACTAATTAACTAAGACACTGAAAAAGTGAGAGGAAGCACCAGGAAACAGGTATACCTGCAATGCAAAGTGTCCACACAGAGCACAATTAAAGAGGATGCCAACATAGTGTAACAGACGTTAACTGACATCACTCAACAATTGTGTAGAAACTGTCAAGCAGTAACCTAACTTGCTGTATAAGCTTTCACCAAAACCTCAAAATGGTATTGATTCTTATGGAAAAAATGTCTTCTGAGAATTACCCAGAAGTTTTAATTCTTTTAAGAAGTCACTACGAACATGATCAGAAATCTTGACAAAGATTCCCTTTCAAGTATGTTCAATAAAACCATTAAATTAAAAGGCCCTACTGACACAAGGATGGCTTCTACATCTCCTTCAAATATACAGTGGTATAACTCATATTCAATAACTCAACAAATGTCAGTGCCCACTGTTCTGGTTCTGGGGAAATCACGAGAACAAGTTAGGCAGCAGAAATGGACAATGCCATATCAGGGTCAGCAAGTCTGCCCCTTTTAAGGTCCCTTATCCTTCTGATGCCAACACGTCCCAAAGACATAGGACACTTCCTTTTTCTCTCTGCTAAGACTACTGAGCACACAGGAACAGGGTCATTCACTGTCTTCACGACTCACCTGAAGAGGCTGTGTTTCTCCTGGGCTTTGTTCAATGGCACCTGCCTGTTGCTGGCCTTCTGTTTCCAGCTCAGGGCCCAGGGGAATCTGCAATTCCTCATTTCCCAAAGCCTCGTTGAGAGTACTGGTATACACTTCATGCTCTCTTCTGAAGCCGGACAAAATCTAGAGAAGACAAAGAGACCCACTCAGCAGTGCACATGTAAGAGCCCTATGCAGAACCACAGGAAGTTATCCTGCCTTCCTCAGCACCCCCTAGAGTGTCATTCTGGGCCTGCTGCTTTGAGGAAGACCCAGGCCCAAGAAGAAATTAGCTAAGCAAAAACAGGAAGCCTATTTAAAGCAGGCCCAGGCACAAGAAGACACCAGCTAAGCAAAAACAGGAAACTCGTTTAGCAGACTCAACCCCCAGGAGCAGCGACAGGTGAACAGCTCTAACCATATGAAGGAGATAGAGGTTCAGCAATAAGTAACAGAAAAAGTGGCCCAGCAGCTGAGGGTTGGCTGCCCAGTAACCAAATGAGGGAATTTAACCTATGACCTTTCTCCCTGTGTACCTAACTGACTTAACGCCTTTATGTCCAAAAGGTTTAACTATTCAATCATAATGTATGCAAAACCTAGACCATAGAAAAGAGACCCCTACCACTACCTTGTAAGCCTATATGAGAGAACACTTTGCATTTGGGGAGCCTGACCCTTGAGAGGTTGTGTGGTCTCTGTCAGTGCTTCTCATGGACAATAAAGTCTTTCTTGCTTTACCATAAGAACTTGTAGCACTGTTTCTTCCCCTCCAGGAGGTCGAATTTCTGCAACAGCTTCACTAGCATCCTATGGCGTGGCTGAAGGCATGTTTACCTCTTTGACTGACACATGTTATTCCCTGCCTCCTGGATGTGTCACCTTACAATCAACCAGAACCACCAGGCAATGCTAGAGGGCTGGTGGAGGGGAGAACACCAGGGGAGTCAGTCCATCTGGGACTTTGTAGGAGGAAGAACCAGCTCTGAAAGTGGAAGCCATCAGCAAAGGGATATGCCAACTTACTCTGTTCTTGATTCTGGAGATGAATATATCATCTGGAAGAGAAGGATCATTTCTTTTAGCAAGTAGGGAGGGAAGGCACCACTTTGTAGCTACAACCTCCCCCCACCCTAAGGCAGGACAGGCCTTCTGGGCTTCACACAGGGACTCAGACTCTGAATGAAGAGCTCCACACATTCAGGACATGAGAAGGATAAGCATGGGCTATTTCTAATTCTGGGGGGTTCTCAAGCAGGACAAAGTGAGGAACATAAAGACTTCTGACTGAAGGCTACTCTGCCCTGGTGGAGCCCTTAAAAGTGGAGATAAAGGTCCTGCAGTGCTGGACACAAAGAGCTGAGAGGGTTAACAGGTGATGAGGGGGATGAGTGTGACTGAGGGTCTTATGTAATCCTGGGTGGATAAAGGGGAAATGCCAACAAAACATGTCCTAGCACCCACCCTCTCCATCAATTCCATCATGCCTCATTCTGAACAAAGGCGCCAAGAGGAAAATAGTAGAAGCAACACAGTAAGGAGGACCACCCTGACAACTATGCTTACAGTGAGAAGGTGGTTCACAGAGAATGGCCCATCTTCCTCCCATGACCGCTCACCTTTACAACTGCAGCTCCAAAAACCCATCACTACCAATACAATCAATGCAATTATCGGGACTACAATCTTCCAAATGTTTTCAGAGTGTGCAGTGGGAGAAGGACTAGTGCCCAGGCTGGTGGACACTGGCTTTCCAGAAACTGTAGTTTCCTCATGGGTTCTGGTCCCTGTGCCTCCAGGGACACACTTCAAGTCATGCCAGGAAGTACAGGGGCTTGCCTGAACTTTCCCGATGGGGCACCTGGGAACCGACACAAATAGAAACAAAATTATCAGAGAGGCCTGAAAAAAAAGAAAGGAGTACCTTTCCCTTCCCAGTGTTCTCTGATAAAATGTTGGAAGAACCTGGTTCTGTAATATTTAAGGGTGAAGGTCCCTTTCATCTTCTTCTTGGGGTGATGAGAAAGTCCTGAGCATGCATAGTCCATACCCTGGGGTTCCCCTCACAGGCTTCAGAGCTGCCTGGTTCAGGCATGGCCTAGTCTGTGAGCCCATGTAGTGGCGGCCAATGGTAGAGGGATTTCACTCCAGACGCAGTGTCAGGAAGGGCAGTGGGCCACTGGTTGAGACACCTCCTCCAACAACCCATCCTCCCTAACTTTTCACCCCACCCCTTCTCCTAGCAGTGTCCTACTCTGTGGCAGACACTACAAGGTAAAGGAAATCCTGACATTTCAAACTCCAGAATAGGCAAAAGACAGGAGCTATCTATAGAAATGCTGAGGGTGAAGCAGGCTGATTCAGCTCAGCTTTTTCTGTGAAGCTTGAAAGAGGAACACATGACCTGTCTTATTACTTTGGGGGGCCATGAGCCACCTGCCCTCATGGGTCACTTTCTCCAAAACAAAGAAATAAAAATTTTATGAGGTATTGCTATAGCTGTTACTCTCACTGCCGTTAAGTTGGAACTGACTCAGTGGGTGTTCAGAAGCAACACATCATACAGCAGAAGACTGCCTACTAACTTTATTCCAAAAAAGCCACTGGTGGATTCAAATTGCGAGAGAGGCATCAACTTTGAGTTAGCAGTGCAAATCCCTACAAACTATACCACCAGAGCTCCTCTTGTTTTTATATCATGAGTATAATCTAAGACTGACTATATTTTCTTTCTCCCTTTCATGAAGTATGGAATCTGCATGGGCTCTGAAAGTATGGTGAGTTCTAAGGACTGACTCACGTATCCAGTGGAGAGCTGGCCTGGCTCAGGGGGGTAAGGGAAGGGATGGCAGCAGGGTCAATGTAGAATATGCAGGTGGGTGAGGAAGGGTCAGGTGGGCTTAGAAGAACCATGGCCCTAGGGAAGCCCTGTGGGGGCAGGAGGGGATTGGATGGAGGCAGGGCAGAAAAGAAGGGTTTAAGGAGCCTTCTGCCCAGTGTCTCACCCAACGGTGCACTTCTGGCAGTGCTCAGGGGAATTTTCTTCTATGTAAGTGCCCTTTTTGCACTGACATTTTCGGTCACTGGTGAGGTTGCAGGAATGAATTTCTTCTTGCTCTGGAGACAAAGCACAAAGATTATCAGTTTATACAGAACAACATGTGTCTCTGGCTTGCCTTTAAATACCCAAACTCCACCTCGCTCAGTCAAACCTAGTTCACCATGGGGATTTCAGGGCCAGTTTCTGCAGCCACAGACAAGGGACACAGAAAACACAGCCACCACTCAATGGTCAGCTAAGTCAGAAAAAGGAATGGAACAGGATTCATTATTTAAGGCATGAGGTTAAGGAGCTAAAAACTTTTAGGGTCTATATTCAAGTGTACAGGTAATAAGTGAGGGTCCCTGGCTGGAGTGAGGAGGGAGGAGGGAGGGGTTTCAGGGAGCCACAGCTGAGAGGATGAGTGCCTGGCCGTGAGCATACAAGGCCAAGAGGATACTGGGCTATGGCAGGACCTGGATCTGCAGTTTCAAAGCAAGTACTTTCCCCCGCCTACCCTTCCTTATATTTTACGAATACTGTCTTCCCTATAGTATAATTACAAAAGATAATTCTTAGTACAGAGTATTATCCCATCATTTCCTACTGATAGTTCAAGAGGGTTTTCTCTACAAATGGTATTGTTGTTGTGTGTACTACAAGAGTCGGAATTGACCCACAGTTGACCCTCTGGCAGGTTTTCAGAGGCAGTTAATCGCACGGGAAGAGATTGCCCATCCTTCTCTTGAGAAATAGCTGGTGGTGTCGTGTGCCTTCAAGACTGCAGCACAGCTTCTTGCCATTAGGCCAACTAGAGATTATGAAATTAATTTTTTACTTTATGTCGCATCATTGACTCAAAACCATGATTATGTTGTCGATTATAATGAAGGCCAATATGGAACTGGATGGTAGGTTTTCTGACACCACACTGGCTATGACTGTTACCTTGTCATCCTGTACCCTACCCTTGGGTCCTGAGTCCATACATTCAGTACCTGGTTTACAAATACTACACAGGGCACACGAACTGCTGTTTTCCTTATAATAATGGGTGGGATTTCCTTCAGTGGAGCACCGGGAACATTCTTCAGCACGTGTGGCAGGGAAGTCTGGGAAAGGAGAGAAAAGCTGCTGAATGAATGCTGACAGGTTTGCCACAAGCCAGGAAGTAGGAGGAGGAGGGCTCGCTTTAGACGATCCCTGGAATCTAAAGAGAAATTTTGCTCTAGGCAGGACTCATTCAGCTTCACTGATTGTTAATTGCCACAGTTGACGGAGAGACTAACAGAAACACAAGAGTCACAAAAAAAGTTCTAATTTTATACTAGTTGCATTAAAAGAGTAAAAAGGACTGGTTAAATTCATGTTAATAATGTACTTTACTTAACCTAATATATCTAAAAAATTATTTGGTTATCCTTCTAACATACAATAAATATAAGAGTTGATAGATTTTACTTTTTATGCTAGTGTTAGAATCTGCTGTGTATTTTTAAGTTACATCTTACTCCAATTCAGATTAACTATACAGTTAACTTAAACAACTCAGGGGTGAGAGGCACTGACTTCCCACTCAGTTGATCCTTGAACAAAGTGGGTTTGAGGTACACAGTATGCAGTGTAGAGGCATTTTCTTAAACTGCCGTGGGATGCTAATCACTAATCATCTTGTGAGCATCATCTTTCCCTGGAGTGATGAACTGCTCATAGGCAGAGTAACACATGAGCTCAGCACTCTACCAATAGGAAAACAATCCACTGATAAGTAGGGCTGTGCAGTTCAAAACCCTGCTGGTCAGAGGCCAACTGTGTATCAAAATGCTCAGAAGCCATATGTACCCAATGACTACTGCACTGGACAACAGTCCAAGCCTACTCTTTAGTCTCAATAAGCTGAGAGTCAGTGAAAGACCTAACAATGAGGGGCAAGCCTCCAAATCAAGATCATGCCATCTGCGGCACCGAATTATGAGAAAATAGGTCCTGCCTATAGGGAGTCAAAGATTATCCAAAGAAAGGTGCCCAAAGTTATACCTGAGAGAAGAACTCAATAAGCTTCTAGCAAGCATGTGTGAGGCGAACGTGATAACCACTACACTACGGAAACCACTCTAGCAAGCATGTGATAGAGTTCATCAGCTGTCCCTGCTCCGCTGCTCATGTCCTGATATTCAATCATCATCTTCACTCTTTGCTCCTTCAAGTAACCTCCATCTCTCCTGATCAACCTCTCCATCTATCCTGATTTTTAGCAATACCAAAAGATACTCTAAAAAACTCAATGTTTTAAAAACATGCTTTATTAACATACTCTGATGGTAGGATTGGAGGAAGACTCATCAAAAACCTGCGTTATAAAGATATGACCATACTTGCTGAAACTGAGGAGGACCTGAAGCATTTGCTGTGGAAGGTCAAGGACTGTAGTCTTCAATATGGATTGAATATTAACATCCATGGAGACAAGGATTCTCACCACTGTGCCAATTGGCAGTACCATCATAGATGGAGAAGAGACTGAAGTTGTCAATACTTTCAGCTCGCTCGGCTCCACAACAAACCTTCTTGGCCCCAGCAGTTAGGAAATCAAAAGATGAATTGTATTAGGTAAATCTGCTGTCAGGGACCTCTCTAAAGTACTAAAGAGCAATGACTTCAGTCTAGAGACAAAGGTGCATCTGACCCATGCCATGGTCTTTGCAATTACTTGCTGTGCATCAGAAAGAGCTGTACAATGACTAAGGATGATGTAAGAATAATTGATGTCTTTGAGTTGTGGTGCCGAAGAAGAGTATTGAAAATATCATGGACTGTCAGGAGAACAAATAGATCTGTCTTGGAGAGAGTGAAACCAAGTTTTTCCTTGGAGGCATGGATTTTTAATCTCCATCTCACATACTTTGGGCACGTTGCCAGGAAGGACCAGGACATCATGCTTGGAGGGATACAGGAAAGAAGAGATAAGATGAACTGACATGGTAACTAGGGCAATGGATTAGGTGTATTGGAGTCAGGGAACTAGCTCAGGATAGGGCTAGGTTCAGAGCTATTGTATACAGGGTCACTATGAGTTCTGAGCAACTCGATGGCAAACAACAACTACTACAGTAACAACATGATGGCACTTTATAACATTAAAAACCCTGCAACTAAGCTTCCGATGCAACTAAGAAGACTGAAAGTATTAACAAATTAATATCCTGATTTTTTCACATTAATAAGAAATCTATTAAAAAATTTATCATTTTAATAATTTTTCATGCATAATCCAGTGGTACTGATTACATTCACAATGTCATGACACCACTGAAACGATTTTTCTAAAATGTTTTCCTCTACAAAAACTCTATATACAAAAATACGTGATATATAAAAAGATTATAAAATATAAGTGAAAATGAATAATCAACAAAGAATACCCTAGATTGGGAACCTCTAAAATTTAAATCCTTAGGTACACCAAAAGATTTTTCCAAAGTGTCAAAAAGGAACTTACAAATGAGAAAGAAGTATTTGGCAAGGACATATCTAATGAAGACTCAGTCTCCAAAATTTACAGGAAAAACTCAACAAGAAAAAGAAAACCAATTCAACTGGGGAAGGGGCTTCTCATTATTGTTATGTACTTTGTTGTTACTCAGAGGCATTAAATCGCACAGAAGGAGACTGCCCATCTTTCTCCCACAGAGCAGTTGGATTTGAACCACATGCCTTCAGGTTCACAGTGCATCTCTTTACCACTAGGGCCACTAGAGCTCCCTGGAAAATGGACAGAAGACGAAAAGATACTTCACTAAAGAAGACATTCAGATGGGCAACAAACCAGTGAAGACATGATCAAGATCATTAGATCACTCCCCTCCCTAGTTGCCATCAGGTTAGCGTCAACTCAAAGATAACTATCCAGTAGTTTTGTTGTTTGTTTGGGGGATTTTTTTTGGTCTCTCTCCCACTAATTTATTGACAAAATTTGAAGACAAATTTGAACAAATTATTTCAATTTCCCCTATCCCCCATTAAATTGTACAACCCTGTGATTTATCTCCCCTCTCCCTGAACATCCACATCCCTCTGCTTCCAGCCTCTCCCACCCTCTTGGCTCCTTATACTCATTCTACAATAATGGTCTTATACAATAGTCCTTGGATGGAGTTAGTTCACTAAGCATAATGCTCTCCAGTCCCTCCCAAGTTAGGTAATCATTTACAAAGTTATTGCTCCTGCATTATCCAGCAGTTTTAGAGGCTGTAAATTACATGGGAAAAGTCTGGTCATCTTTCTTCCATATAGCATCTGGTGAGTCTGAACTATCTACCTTTGGAGGGGGACACCATGTTTGAAAAGATCGGTGAAAGAGGGGAAGATCCTCAATGAGATGGATTGATACAATGTCTGTGACAAAGGGCTCAAGTGTGTGGGGGATGGTATGGATGGCGCAGGACAGGGCAGGGTTCAGATCTAGGAGTTGTACTGAACTTGATGGCACTTCACCACCACCACCACAACATCCTTTGATTGGCAGTCAAACTCTTTACCCACTAGGCCACCAGTGTTCCCTCATTAGGATCTTCCTCTCCAGTGCTGACCCTCTACCCTTCCAAGCATGATATCCTTCTCCAAGGACTGGTTCCTCCTGGCAACATACCCAAAGTATTTCAGATGGAGCTTCAAAATCCTTCCCTCTAAGGGAAACCTGGTTTCACCATCTCCAGGACAGACCTCTTTGTTCTATTAGCAGTCCATGGTATGTTCAATACTTTTCTCCAGCACCACAACTCAAAGGCATAGATTATTCTTCTGTTATCCTTAGTCACTGTCCCCTCTCAGATGCACAGTAAGCAACTGAGAAGGCCATGACTTGGATAAGGAGCACCTTGGTCTCTACAATTACACTGTTGCTCTTTAGTATTCTGGAGAGGTCCTTGACAGCAGATTTTCCCAATGCAACTTGTCTTTTGATTTCCTGACTGCTGGTGGTTTCCTAACTATGGATGTCAGCAAGATGAAATCATTAACCACCTCAATCTTTTGTCTAGCATTCTCCACAATGCTGCCTTTTGGCTCAGTGGTGAGG